GGGAAAGAGAGGAAGGAGGGGAGGAGGTCAGAAGGGACAGGACTAGGGAGAAGGGAAGGAGTCACTAGAGAAAGAAAAGAGAGGAGGGTGGTCAGAGGGGAGAGAGGGGAAGAGGAAGGAGGGAGAGGGTCAGAGAGAAAGAGGTCAGAAAGGGGAGGTCGAGGAAGGGAGTCACTTGAGAAAGAAAGAGGAGAGGAAAGAGGGGTCAAAGAGTAGAAGAGGAAAGAGAGAGGAAATCAATGGAGAGAGAAATGGGAGAGAGGAGGAGACAAGGTAGAAGGTCCCTGAAGAGAGAAAAGAAGGGGGGAAGGAAGAAGTGGGAGTTAGGGGACCAGGGAGTAAGAGAACAAGTGAGGGGAGGGGGAGGGGGAGGAGAAAAGGGAGCGAGCAGGGAGGCAGTCAGAGGACCTGGACGGAGAGGAGGGGCTCTTAGTGGAGTTAGTAGGGAAGGGGTTAGAACACAAAGGAGGGGAGGAGAGAGCAAATCAGAGGGGAACAAGTCACAGGACCAGGGGAGGACAAGAGGGGGTCAAACGGGAGGGAAAGGGTCAGAGAGAAAGAAGGGTCAGGCAGAAGTCAGACTAAATGGCTTCAGAGGGTCCCCTTCAGCTCTGACATTCCATTCACCCCTTTTTCGTTCCTTATTTTATTTTATCATCTAAGCCCAGGCCTGATCCAGAGCCTGTCAGAGCTCCCAAGTTATGACATGTTCACCATAAAAGAGCCTCAATCAATATTAGGCCATAGAATATAGTTACAAGGAGCCAGACAAATCAGAGGTAGGCTCCCCACCTCCCGCCCCCACTGCCACTTAAACCCATTCAGCAACCCCCACAAATGACCTCTCCCTTCCCTTCCCAAGCTGCTTCTCTCCTCCTCCTCCCCACAACTTCTCCACTGGTCCCCTCCTCCACTGACTCCTCTCTCTTCCATTCTCCAGGGACCCAACCCAGATTTAGAATCATACAAGTTTAGAGAAGCTGAAAGAGATCTTAGAAACCATGCAGTTCAGTCCTCCTCAGTTTACAGAGGAGGAAACTGAGGTCCAGATAAAGGGCATAATTAGTCTGAGGTTAGTCAACAGGAAGCCAGGTCTGGCACCCAGGCATTTTTGGTTTATGGGCAGACTTCTAATACCGTAGGCTGAGTGGACCCCTGACTGAGGTGGCAAGACCCAGACTGGTGTCACGTGGTATAGGCTGAGATCTTTATCTTTGGAGAGGATACCCACAATGGTGAGATGACTAAACTGGCCAAGAATGGCAGAGGGCACTCTGCTGGGAGCTAGAGATACAAAGACAAAAACAAAACTGTCCCTGCCTTCAAGGAGCTTCAATGTCCTGGGGGATGACACAAAATGAACACAAGTAGGTAAATACAGAGCATAAACAAGTGATACAAAGTTGTTTTAAGAGGAAGGGAACTCTAACAATGGCAGAGGGGGTAGGTGGTAGTGCAGTAGAGGATAAAGAAACTGGCCTCATAGCCCAGAAGAACAGGGTTCAAATCCTGCCTCTCACACATATTAACTGTGAGACCCTGGACAAGTCATCTAACTTAGCTAGACTAGTGGTGTCAACTCAAATAGAAATGGGGCCACTCAAGAGTATATAATAGCACTGTGGGCCACATATTGACTCAGAAAACTACATATTAACATTATGTCTTTTGTTGTTGTTGTTGTTGTTGTTGCTAAATATCTCCCAGTTACAGTTTAATGATTTTCTGGCCTCATTCAGAAGGGATTGTTGCACCTGCAGACCCTGTGTTGACCCCACCCCCCATATGTAGGTATGTGTGAAACACATAGGAAGCAAAGGAGATGGCAAGGGATGCTGTGTTAAGTGCATAAAGCAAGGGCCCCAGTCAAATACACTGGGAAACAGGCAGCTGGGAGGAGGGATGTCACCTGGGAAGGCTTCCTTTGGAGGTGACTCAAATGCTAGACTTTAAAGGGGAAGAAGACCTCTGAGGCCAGAAGGGACATTAAAGGCCAGGAAGTCCCCTGGAGGGACAGGTCTGCTGAGCATGTTCTGAGGCTTTTGGGCGTGCTGGAAAAGAGGAGGGAGGATGCAGGGGAGCAGGAGGAGATAAGACTGCAAAAGGAAGTTGGGGCCAGCCCAGAGGCCTGGCATGCTTGGCTCAAGAGTCTGTGGGCAGTGCATGCCTGTGCCTGAAAGCTTTGTGTGCCAGGCAGAAATGATGCAAACCTCTGAACAGCTCAGCCTCAGCATTCACCTGGCAACCAGCCCCTCCCTTGGGAGCACTGGGTTCGCTTACTTGTTACTTCCTTCAGTGCAAGGTCCATCAAAAGGAACAGCAAAGCAGGAACTGAGGACCAGAGGCAGCCTGATAGGGAGAAGAAACAGCCCTGGAGGTGGGGGCAGGAGACCTGGGTTCTAGTTCTAGTCCTAAAACAAATTGCTTCGTGACTGCAGGCAGGTCCTGTTCTTAGCCTCAATTTCTCCCTCTGTCAAATAGTCCTGACAAAAAGTAAGCACTTTATCAATACTTTAGCTATCCTGGACTTCAGCACTAGTTGGGTTGGTTACCTTGGGCAAGTCACTTCCCCTTCTCAGAGTCTCAGTTTCCCTATTTGTAAAATGAGGCTGCCCTGCTCCCTGGGTTATTGTGAAGAGGGCAGTTGATAAATTGTGAAGCATTATACAAATGGGAGTAATTGTAATCCCTGCCCTGTGCTTTTCAGGGATGTTTTATTGATGGAGGGCAGATGGAGAAGACTTTCTTTTCTGCATTACCAAAGAATTTCTCACCTAGTGGCCCAACCTACTGGTAATGAGGCTTTTCTTTCTTCCCTTAGAATGTGAGCTCCTTGTATCTTCAGGGTCAGACCAGAATCCTTCTTGCCTTGGCAGTACTTTCCAGAGGTGGCTTTCTGCTGGCAGATCTTTTAAGAGTCTCAGTGTCTCCATTTGTCAAACGAAGGGGATTAGACCCAGTGACATCTGAGGACCTTTGCCGTTCTATTGTGCCATGATTCTATGCTCCAAGTCAAGATGAAGATGGCCTAGGGTTCAAACAATGCCAGTTGGCCATAGCAAAGGACGTGGAAGAATGCTCTTCTAATGACTCTTCTTCAGCTGGCAGTCAAGCAGTTAATGGCTGGTGGGCACAGGCCTGGGCACCCCACCCCCTGGTTCACAGCAGCATCTCCATTCTCCAGATGAGGTTCTGCCCTTCCAAGGTGCCAGCTGGAACCAACCCAGCTTAGCCAGAGCTTCTTCTGCCCAAGGTGAGGTTGTCGCCGCCATGGAAAGAGGCCCCTCAATACAGAAAGGGGAGAGCATGTGCCCACGGAGACATGCACCAGGGCCTGTATCATAGCCTCAGGATCTCAGCCACTCTGGGGTACTCACCCTGATGAGTTCTAGGTTGCAGATTATGTCTGCAAAATAGAGATAGTGACTCACCTAAGGTCACACAGTAAGTAGCAGATCTGAGATTCAAACCCAGGTGTTCTGATTCCAGGTTCCAGGTTCTTTCTGTTACACCTTCACCATGACAGGACAGGGTTGGATTAGACTAAGGACCCATCCAGCTATACAAGTATGTGCTGGAGGAGACAGTGTGGTGGAGTGGAGCACATTCTTTCTTTGCAAATTCCACTGTAGTCCGCCTCCTAAGATCCCACCGCTAAGCTGCTGGTCCTGCTCTCTGGGTCCAAGGGGAGCAAGTCACATGACAACCCTTCAGATTCTTGAAGACAACCATCCTTTCACCCTTGAGAGTCTTCTGGCTTCTTTAACTCATGACCCTATCATATAGATTCAAGGCAAGCCTTTCCCACCCAGGCTGCTCTTGTACTGTTCTGAACTGGGAGGAAGAAGGCAGCAGTGTGGCCTAATGATCAGCTTAGGTTTTACAGAGCCGATGATACTCGGACTGAATCTTGAAGGACTTGCCTTCTCAAGAAGGCTGTGGTCTCCTCTGGGAGGGGACCTGACTCTTCTCTTATGTTTCTTACAAAGTGGATCTCATAGGAGACACATGATAAACACTTTTTCTTAATGGAGGCATATTAAAATATTCATTGAAGGCAAAGTTTTTTCATTGCAATCCTTGAGGCTGGACTTGTTTTTGCCTTTCTTTGCACCTCCAACACTTAGAAAACTGTCTGACACATAGTAGGCACTTACTGAATGCTTGTTTACTGATTAGCAATCCAATTAGAACTGTTTTAAGCTCCTACTATATTCAAGGGACTGAGTTAGAT